GATTTTTATTTTTATAAAAGTTAATATATTTTTTTGGCACACTGATCAATAGATTTCTATAAAAATTAATATCATCTGATATATTTAGAAGAATTATATAAATTCATTATTAAAATGTATTTTTGTCTAAAATATTTTTTTTATTCTATCTAGTATTAAATGCATTACCAAATATTGAATTATATTATTTTATACAATATATTATCTTATACTATATCATACCAAATGCTGGATAGTATTAAAATTTAATCAGGTCTTATACAATCAGATTTTATACTATCAGGTCTTATACTATCAAGCCTTATCATATATTGTGTACCAAACATGCCTGTAGTGCTTATTATTATAATTTTTTAATCTTATAATCTTAAAACGACGTCGTTTTGAGTTCACCGGAGATAACTTCATCTTATGTGACTTGACTGGAGGAAAACTTTTCCGTGTGAACTTATTCTTTAATTTCTTATTGGTTTCGGCTGTGTTTATGGAGAGATTTTTTCGGTTTAATTTGGAGAGATTTATAATATAATTAATGAGGTATATTTATAATAAAGACTATTTGTATGGGCCCGATGAACTCAGGCCTAGATGCTGAAAACTGTGACCTGCCCCAATGTCATGGCCCAATAGCTGAAAACTATATTCCTTCGTCTCGCCTTTGCTATCACTGTTATTTACAAAACGTTTAATAAAGAGTCCGTTGGGAAGGATTTTTTTCCTCCAGAAATTTGTTTTTTTTTTCTTCTCTTTTTTAAGAAAAAAATCTTCTCATTACATGGGTGTTTGGATGTTTGCTAAATATTAAAACAAAAATTAAATAATATATGAATTTTGAGGGAGGTAATGGCCCGGCCATGTTAGTTCCGCCCTTGATTGTTCTACATCGACATTTTATTAATGGCTTTGAGATTCATACACTCATCTTAATTTAGATGGTTTATCAGCCACCAATGCAGCAATAAGAACCACCCCATATATAAAATGCAGGAAAATAAAGGGCTTGAACCTCATTTTGTCAGTGAACACAACAATTGAGAAGGATCAAAGCAAAGGTTCTACAAGACCCTCATGTATAGTACGTAGGAAGTGCATTAGAAAATTGAATGCGATATTTTGAACTATTCTTAATACTTTTTGGCTCATTCTTTGCACATTTTCAAAGCCGTTTCCACTTTGACATGAAAACATGCATGCGAAGCTAGAAGTTACTTCAAGCCACTTCGAAATTAATGTGAAGCTATGAGTTAGTAGCTTTAATGAAGCTGCTCAGTTGAGTCATTTTCATTCCGTGTTATCTGCCACTTCAGGTTTGAAGTTTTCTTCTTTATTGTTCATGAAGATAAGTGGTCCACTGGCTGTTTAATCCTGGATTTCATACATGTTTCTGTGCCACCTTGAATGCCCGAGTTCATGCAAGAAAGAAAGCTCTCACTATTAATATAAACCAGATACTCACTCAACACTTTAACGTTGGTTCTTTACATAGCATCGGAACTTCAGGATTATGAAGAGGTCATGAGTTCGATCTTCATCGCTCCAGTGAAATTAAATAAGTACAAAGTAAAAAAAAAAATTAAGCCCGTGCAATATCCACACGTTTCGTTTCAAGCACAAAAGACTCTTGGATAAGGGGATGCGTTAGAAAATAACATAAATTATTTAAAAAACCCTGAGTAAATACTCTCATATAATTTTTAAACATGAGAGGATTCATTTTCAACCCTCACACAACTGGCACATTAATTGTCTATATAATTAGCATTTATTTTTATTCAATTTTATTGAAGAAGAAAGAGAGGGAGAAATGAAAAGGACACACTAAAGAGGGATCAAAGTAAAGATGAATGGTTTCAATACTCCAGAGGTAACTGAACTTCCATAAATTTAAAAGGAATAAGGACAAAGTTGAAGAGGTTGGCAATATGTCCTTGATTTCACGAACTGGAGTCCACATTCTAAAATAGCCTAGGGGTATATTCCCACACTTCTATATACTTAATTACGTTTTTTTTTTAATTATTTAAGATGACATTTACTAATTTATTTATTTAATAATTTCAACTTTTAATTACTTATATTTAATTAATCATCTACACATTTGAATTTAATATATTTAAATAACGATGGATCAAGGTCAAGAGGTAACTGAACTTCCATAGAAAGGAAAGAAAATAAGGACTAAGTGGATGAATTGGCAATGTAATTGGCTTCATTATATCCTACATTTTAATTTAACGGTTTTTCACACTTCTATCTACTTGTTTAATTATATGTATTTTCAAATATTCAAAATTACTTTTATTAATATAATAAGCTGCTAAAATTACAAACAATCCTTAGCTATCAACATTTTAGTCTATTTATTTAATAACTTATTTTTTAATTATATCTAATTATTTATTTTCATTTTTAAATTTAATATATTTATTTAATTTATTGAATAACTTTTGACCAATATATTAGAATGAGACAGTTTCTTTTTCTTTTTCTTAAGTTTTCAGAAATACCTAATGCAAAAATGTTATAAGAAATGTTTTATTTCAAACTTATTGCTATTTTCATTTTTACTTATATACGTACAGTACTTTTTAAACTTAATCAATGTTCATTTTATTATTTTTTGTTTATATTTCAGTTTGAATATAAAATATTAAAAATTAATTTCTAGGTATATCAAATTGTTAATTAGAGACGTAAGAACTTATTAAAATATTTACCTGCAAGAAAAAGTTAACATTTTTACTATTTTAAGTGTAATAAAAAATTACTTTAAGAATGAAAAATATATTAACAACTATTATTTAATTTTTTATTTTTTTAATATTTTTTCATATATTGCGGAAATTAAACATGAAAAGTAATTTGAAAAAATTTCAAAAAATCCCCTGTACTATTGCTTTGAATCACTTACATCCCCATAATTTTTTTAATCACTTAATCCCCTACGATTTTTTTCACCCATCCCCTTTTTAACACTATTAGAATTGACTAAATATGCATACTTTACCCTTCTTAAAATAAGAAAATAAAGTGATAAAAAATAAATAAAAATAAGATTAACTATTATGAAAACTTAGAATACTTAATACAAGATTAAAAGAAAAAAAAGATTAAATGTGTCTAAATAAAAACATAGAAGAAAAAATAAAACCAAATATGTTAAAAATCAATACATTGACAGAATAAAACTAAAATAAAAAAAAAAAAAAAATATGCATAACTAATACAAAAAAATAGAAGAAAAAATTAAGATAAAAAACAGAACAAAAAGAAATCTCAATTATGAGTTTTCAATATATTGGGTTTTATTTTTATTTTATTTTTTTGTCCATGATCTATTTTATTCTTTTTTATTTAGATATTTTTTATCTTTTTTCTATTTTTATTTTTTTTTCATTTTTGGTCTATTTTATTCTGATTTTCTTTTTCTTTTTTTTAGCCTTGTGCCATCTCATTTACTAAAGATTTTTGTAAAAAATTTTAAAGAGAGAGAGAATAAAATAGAGATATAAAAAAAACCCAAACATATCTAAATAAAAAGAATAAAATAAATCAAGGATAAAAAAAATCAAATATGTTGAAAATTCACAACTGTTATTTCTTTTTGTTCTATATTTTATCTTAATTTTTTTCTTCTATTTAGTATATATTTTTTCATTTAGAATATTTTAATTTTTTTTAGTTTAGTTTTTTCTATCACTGTTATAATTTTTAACCTATTTGGTCTTTTTTTTTATTTAGATACATTTGATCTTTTTTCTTTTAGTCTTTTATTAAGTATTCTAAGTTTTCATGATATCTGGTCTTATTTTTCTTTCTTTTTTATCACATTATTTTTTTCTTATAAGAAAAGTAAAATATGTATATTTAGTCAAGTTTTTAATAGTGTTAACTGTTAAGGGGGATGGATGAAAAAAATCATAGGAGCTATTAAAAAAAGATATAAGTGATTCAAAACAATAGCACAATGAGATTTTTAAACTTTTCCCGAATAATTTTTATATAACAAGAAAGATATGAATATAATTTAACAATAAAATTAAGTGTATCTATTTTGGAGTTCCGGAAAATCCTGGTTTAAACCCCGAATGCTCGTGGGAAACTCTTCTGATCAAACTTTTCTTGTTCTGCTTCAACATAGTATTAAAATTTTACTTGTAAAATTGAATAAAGTAATGGGCAAAGGTCCTCAGGATCTGATGTAGAACCTGAACGACGCATGGATAGCACAAATTTGGACCACATGGCGACGTTTGAGATGCTGGCATTGGGCCTTGCATGCAATCAAGTACTTTATTAGTAAATTAAAATTAAAAATAAATATCTTTTTTGATTGTCGGTAAATTTCACCTGCTTTAGTCCCTAGCAAATAAAAAAGCTATTCGTGGTCTCTAAGAAATTCAAAGTGGATCCATTTTAGTTTTTGTAGAGACTAATATGGATCTTTTTTGAATTTGTGAGGGATCACAATTTCAATTAATTGGGTCCGTTTTGAATTTCTTAGGAACTACAAATAGCCTTTTTATTTGCTAGAGACTAAAGCGGACATTATGAAATTTGCTAAGAACCAAAAAAGATATTTACTCAAAAATTAAAAACGATCTTTGCCTAAAATTTTGCTTGAAGAAATGATAAGGCTGGTTCACCCATAAATCCGCGAACTGCTGGCAAAAACTTGAATACAATAATTAAATTCGTGGTTATATCAATTTAAAGCATGACTTTGCCATTGACCTTGGTTATTAAAGCAAACTCGTAGTTGTATAGTTCCATGGTTTTTGATTCTGGATAATAGATGTGAAAATAATATAAATGAACGTAATTAAAAACGATAAAAGAACAAATTTAGAAACACGTACGATTGTTAAAGCCAAAGTAAAAATTCACTATTATTTAGGGAAAATAATATTGTAAGGTGGGTACACCTTTCCACTACTTGTATTGACATAATTTTTTTCTAATGAAATAACTCTAGTTTTTGCTCCATGGTAATTAAGCCCTTAGACCAAGCCTCCACCGTAACCTCCTCCGCCAGGCTTATCATCGCCGGGAGCACCACCACCACCAGGCTTATCATCGCCGGGAGCATCACCACCAGGCGCACCACCACCGGGCGCACCCCCGCCTGGAGCACCCCCGCCAGGCTTATCACCGCCAGGAGCACCACCACCGGGCATGCCACCACCGGGCATGCCGCCGCCGGGCATGCCACCGCCAGGCATACCAAAACCGGGGATACCAAAACCGGGAATACCAAAACCAGGAATACCGAAGCAGTTAGTACCCACTCCATTCGGACAAGCATTTTTGCTATATTTGACATCACCAACATCATTTTTCTCTTGAACAACCTCAGCTGCAAACACATGAACCGTGAACAAATCAAACGATGAGAATCATCACATTTGCCATGAAAAAAATTATTGTATGATTAATGAACACAAGTCTTATCAATTTGATTACTAATGGCACAATCAATAGGCAAAGAACCATGGCTAGATTTTTAAACGAAAACAAAATGTAAGGGAGCACCTTATTGATTTATGGTTGGTGAGAATAGAAAGCAAAACGCAAAATTATAACACATTCTAGAGGAAGTCTCACCCAAGTTCCTAGCTGCCACTTCTGAGGAGATCAGAACAACAATGGCCAAGAGGCCTAGGATGTGTACGGCTTCCTTAGAAACCATTTTTTTCAGTAGTAAATTAAAACGAGAATCAATTAGATGTTTGCTGATGAAAGATGTGAAAAATAGTATGGAAGAGTACTCTATTTATAAGAGACACAAACCTGAGGCGTGGAGGAGGTAAGATCTCAAAAGTTTACATAATAATTGCATTTTTACTATCTAGCAATGGGAAAAATATATGTTATTTTAAAAGAGGTAAAGTTATATCATTTTAAGTAAGAGAAAGAGATAGATAACGAAGAAGAGAGAGTGACAAAAAAAAATGTGAGTAAAAAAATGTGAGTCCTATCTCTTTGTGGAGCATATCTTTGGTACTAATGTAGTATGTACTCCTTTACTAAAAGTAGAAAATGATAATGGTTTAGGGGAAAATAACCATACAAAAAGGGTAAAATAGTAAAATAAATATATTATTATTTCTAAATTAAGTAAATGATGTACTGAGTCTTCAGTACTACAGCTCTTTGTGAGAATGAAATGACACAAATTATGTCATTTTAAAGGATAAATATTTTTCTCTTAATCATATAATAAAAAATCGTACACAATAAATATATCTAGCACTAAAGTCAACCAGGAAAAATAACTTGCATTTTTGCTTTAAATGCTTTCCTTTAAGTTTCTTAATCAGCAAGAAAAAATTGAAAATTTTAGTCAAATGCAATACTTGGTCGATCAACACCAAAACTAATCAAAGTGAGAACCCAACTCCGGGTTCATAACCGACGCCCATAGATTTTGCATTGGTTAGCTTTTTTTTTTTTAGGAAATTGTTCCAAAGATATCTCATAGTCGAAAGTCAAGGACTAATTCTCTCGAGACAGAGAGATAATGCTATCATGGGTACAACTTCTTCCAACAAAACATTTTCTATACACATATTCAGGAATCGAACTCCTGTCAATATACTTAAAGGACATTGTTATCTACCAACTATGTCAGGCTTTGTTGGTTAATATTGTTTAGCTTGACAAGCAAACTTTTACCAACCACTAGGGCTAGTCTAGTGGTGTAAGTGTGTGTAATTGGGTGTGTGTGAGTGTGTGGTTGTGTGTTCTATTCCCTGTAACCTAAAAAAAAAAAAAAAGCAAACTTTTACCAAGATACACTTAAATTTATTAGTTTTACAATTAATTTGCTTGTAACAACAATAATGATGAAGCAACTCTAAAATATAAACCTATGAATTCTCTAGACATTAAAATATAAAGTTTGCCCACACGGAACGATGTATTAGGCTCACCATCAATAACCAAACAAACTCACACAATTGAACCGAAGGAGTAAAAGACTTAACTCAGCAACCAAATCTGTAAATTTTTTAATTAAGATTAGGGTGAGTTGCAATACAACTTATTGAATAAACAATAGGATCTATAACAACTGGGACGTGACAATGTATAAAATTAACCTCTAGTAAAATAATAAATATGAAAATTCTAAAATCAATATATGTGCTAAATCATTTCTAATATAACTAAAACCAATACTATTCAAAATAATATTTTACTGTAACCAAACATTAAAGCCGAAAAAATTGTATATCGAATCAAAATCAATGAATATAGGGTAATATTTTTTTGATGTTGCATAAGAAAAATATTATCTCCTACATTTATTTATATTTTTTAAATGGGTCCAACAGTTTTTTTTTTACTCTTGTCTCTCTCCTATTTATTGTTTGAGTAGGAGATAATATTTCTTTTATGCAACATAGGAAAAGTATTACGCATTCATATATGTAAAACAAAATCCTTATTTTACTAAAATAATGCATGCGTTCAATAATTTCTTAATTGTTAATTTTGCTTTAATTTGAAAAATTAAATACTCATTAATTTGAAAAATTAAATACTCAAAAATGAAATTCCCTTCATTAATAAAATTAAGGGTTGTGTTAGATTACCAAAAAAAATAAATTAAGGGTTGTGTGTTTCTTTCACTCAAAAAATTTCATTCGATTAACTATTATTCGTAGATAATATATTTACTATAATTTCGGGCATAAAGAACTTTTGTATTCGACGGTACTCAAAAGATTTCATTCCATCAATAAACTTTAATGGGAAAGCTTGCAATGTGTACTCTATATCATCAAATTAACTAAGAGATAACATGTCTCTTGCCCTATAAGATGAAGAGAAAAGCAACGCAAGAAGCAACCACGGGACATCAAAGGTTCCTTCATGTTTTTTTTTTTCTGTTTTTTAAGGATAAGTAAGGTATTTTTGAAAAAAATTTAACTTTCTTAATTTATTTCTGGATGAAAAATTAAGTTTGGGAGTAAGTGATAAAGAAACTTTAAATAAGGGTGTAAATGATTCAAAATTTTGAGAAGGAGATAAAGTGATTCTAGAGAAAACTTCCTGAGAATTTTTTGAAAATTTTCCTAAAATAATTAACATTTAGATCATCATTCGTTCGCGATACAATAACATAAAATCTAAATCACTTTTTTGTTTATAATCAGACTCCTAACCTTTTTTTTTTTTGGTATAACCTATGTGACAGGGAAAGTTGTTTAGTTCAGTGGATTTTTATTTTGAATAATAGATGTGACAGTAAAGGATATTCAATATAATAAAAGAATAAATTTAAAAACACGTACGGTTGTTAAAGCCAAAGTAAAAATTCACTAATATTCAGGTAAGCAATTTACCATGGTGCATACACTTATTCAAAATAGTATTACAAAGAGAAGTAATTTTTGCTAGGGATAACTCTAGCCATTGCCCACATGGCACATGGTAACTAAGCCCCCAGACCATTCCCCCCACCGTGACCACCTCCGGCAGGCGCAGCACTAGGAGCACCACCTCCGGGCGCAGCACCAGGAGCACCACCTCCGGGCGCAGCACCAGGAGCACCACCTCCGGGCGCACCACCGCCAGGAGCACCACCACCGGGCATGCCACCACCAGGCATGCCCCCGCCTGGCATACCAAAACCAGGAATACCAAAACCAGGAATAAAGCAGTTGGGACCTACTCCATTCGGACAAGCATTTTTGTTATATTTGATATCACCCACATCTTTTTTCTCTTTAACCTCATCTGCAAGCACATGAACCGGGAACAAAAATCAAACGATGAGTATCATCACATTTGCCATGAAAATAAACACAAGTCTTATCAATTTGATTAGCAATTGCACAATCAATAAGCAAAGAATAGAAAGCAAAACACAATCATCCCACCGTAACCACCTCCGCCAGGAGCAGCACCTCCTCCGGGAGCACCTCCTCCAGGAGCACCAGCACCGGGAGCACCTCCGCCAGGAGCTCCACCACCGGGTGCACCACCACCGGGCGCACCCCCGCCTGGAGCACCACCGCCAGGCGCTCCACCACCAGGCATGCCCCCGCCGGGCATACCGAAACCAGGAATACCAAAACCAGGAATAAAGCAGTTGGGACCCACTCCATTCGGGCAAGCATTTTTGTTATATTTGATATCACCCACATCTGCAAACACATGAATCGTGAACAAATCGAACAATGAGTATCATCACATTTGCCATGAAAATAGTAACGTATGATTAATGAACACAAGTCTTATCAATTTGATTAGTAATTGCATAATCAATAGGCAAATAACCATGGCTAGATTTTTAAACAAGAACAAAATGTAAATAAGGAAGCTCCTTGTTGAGTTTATAGTTGGTGAGAACAGAAAGCAAAACAAAAATTCACACATTCTAAGGTTGGAGGAAGTCTCACCCAAGTTCCTAGCTGCCACTTCTGTGGAGATTATAACAACAATGGCCAAGAGGCCTAGGATGCGTAGGGCTTCCTTAGAAACCATGTTTTCAGTAGTAAACTAAAACCTGAATCAAATAGATGTTTGCTGATGAAAGAGGTGAAAAATAATGTGAAAATTGTACTCTATTTATAGTAGAGACAGACCTCAGTAGTGGAGGATAAGATCTCAAAAGTTTACATAATACTCCGGCAAAAATTGTGTCATAAATATATCAAGCAACAAAGTCAACTACGAAAATTAACTTACACTTTTGTTAAAATGTATAAAGAATCACTTTAACCCAAAATTTTAAGGTATTGGATGAGGATTATTTTAATGGTTTATATTATTTTCTAAACACCCCTTACGCTATAGCCTTTGCGCTTGAAGCGTGGATATTGTATAGTTCAAGTTTTTTTCTTTTTTAATTTACCTTAGGCTTATTTAATTCCACAAATGGGAGAGGTGAAAATCAAACTCGTGATCTTATAGTCACTGAAGCTGAAACTATGATATCATATAAAGAATCACTTCAACCCAAAATATTAAAGTATTGGATTCGAACCATTTTAATGATTTATATTATTCTCTAATAAAATAAATTTTAAAGTTTCTTTAATTGAGTAAAAAACAAGTTTGAAAATTCTTATCAATTTTTTCCCTAAAAAAGTTTGAAAATTCTTATCTTTTCCCTAAAAAAGTTTGAAAATTCTTATCAATTTTTCCCTAAAAGTATATATATATACTTTTGGTCTTATTTGGATGAGCATTATGCAATTTTGGTCCCCAAATTAATTTTTTTCCAACAAGGAAAACTATCAGATTTTTTCCCATTTAGCAATATAATAATTTTTTGAAAGAATTATCAAAATATAATAGTTTGAATATCATTGAACCATGGAAGCCCCACGTGTGGAATCAAGTCAGCATGTGTCCCCGTGGTGGCATGATTGTTAAAATCTCGATTTATCACTAAGATTTTAGGATTTTTTTCATTAAAACAATTTTACCAATATTCCAAATGTTTTTACAATTTTTTATGATTTTTTTACATTACAATTTTACATTTTATTATTTTTTAACTCCTTTCAATTTTACTTAAAATCTCAATCTTAACACCTTTGATTGGTGAGTCTCACATGGTCATACTTTGTCAAATTCAATCACTTTGATAAATTTGGTAGTGCGATATATGTCACCTAAAACTAGCAGACGGGGTTGGAAATTGGAATAATATTAAACTTGGTTAAGTAATATTATTTTTGTAAATAATTTGTACATATATTATTTTAATAAGTATTATATTATATTATGGAGAAGGATATTGTAACAATTAACTAGTGTTACATCCAATATTACTACCAATTAATCTCACTGTTAGATCGATTATGTTCATCAAACAGATATATTTATTTCTATCTTTGTATAGTTATGATTCGTCATATTTAATATTTTATATTTATTTTCACCTTTGTATGGTTATGATTCCCCATATTTAATGCGAAATGGTTATGATTCCCCATATTTAATGCTTTCACATTAAATATGGGGAATCATAACCATACAACGATGAAAATATATATAACCGTTGGATCCACATAATCGATCTAACGGTGAAATTGATTGGTACATAGTAATATTGGTAGTAAGACTAGTTGATTGTTATAATATCCTTTCCCTTATATTATTATATAAATATAGGGAAAAATATTTCTGCAGTTAATGCAAATGAATTATCTGCATTTATTTTCAAAACGACGTCGTTTTGGTATTGAAATCTTAAAAAATTATAAATAAAAAGACTATTATAACCTTGAAATAAATTAAAATTACAAAAACACCATGATTTTCGCCCCAAAACGACGTCGTATTGGGCTTACTGCAGATAACTTATCTGCAGTAACTGCAGAAAAAACGAACCCATAAATATATGAATGCTTCAAAAAAATTAATTAATTTTTTTATTTCTCCAACAAGGTTTATCCATACTTTTTTTTTTGGTAAAGTTATTATTACTCTTATTTTTTTGATATATTTTAATTGATTTATCGCTTTGTAATTAGTTCAATTTGGGGTGAGTCCTGGGATTAAGGATTAAGACTTTAAACCCCTCCCAAAGATAATAACGAGGAGGATCGGGCAGATGCTCTCACCTCCACCTACTCGATTCCATGATTCCAAGGGAGTTACCATCATTTGGTAGTTATCCTTACTCTTTAAATGTGAGGATAAATTTTGTTTAAAGTTATTTCCTTTCTTATATTGTTCATTTCATTTATTATAGTTGTCTTGTACTTATTTGAATTATAAAATAGAATAGATTATTTTAACTATCTTTTTTTCCTGTCTACCTTTGTCTATCACTCTCCAACACCATTAAATAAGAATCTCAATAAGAGAAAGAAATTATAAAGATAGTTGAAATTATGATCTAATAGTGTTGGAGAGTGATAGACAAAGATAGACAAAAAAAAGTGGGTAAAATCAGTGGCAGACTCAAAAATTTTTATTTATGTCTGCACACTTAGTGGCGGGGGCTGCCCCCATAAATGTTTTAAAAGAAAGTTTAAATGTATTAAAAAAACAAAATAAGATAAACAAGAAAAGAAAAAATTGTAATTAAGAGTCAACTGAGCTATTAGCCTATTACAATAGAATGATTATTTCTTAAGAATAATAATAATTTCACAATTTCAAACTGATTATTTTTAAGATTTTTATTCTTATAGCGATGCAAAATAATCGTGCCATTTTTCATTATTATTTTGGTGTGAAATATAATTAATTATACCTAATAAACATTCCGCTCATTCAAAAAAAATTCACGTAACACAATATTTGGATAATTATATGAGAATACGTTTCACTTTCTAATTTTCAGTTTTTCCACCTTGTCTTTAGACCCACCAATCACAGTAACTTAACACTTTCACGTCATGGTGCATGAGCAAGTTGTGGTTGTCGTGTTTTATATTGAATATGTGACAGTCATGCAATGAAAGTGTGGTTTATATTGTATGTCATTGAATGATAGTCTGACGATGTTTGTGTATGCACTTGCCCATACTTACACAAGTGTAAGTCCGCCAATGAATAGAATAACATATCCCTGGTAAAATAACATAAAACTTTTCTTTTGAACGATTGAGCTTGTTTTAGCTTATTAACTTCACAATGCTTATCTAGGACACCTAAGGCGCAAATTAGTTAAGTTGTGATAGTTGTTAGCTTTTTTATTATTTTATAAAAGTTTATTAAGCTTGTCGAAATTTATTGACCTAATATTTTTTGTATTTTCTTTTCATATAAATTATTCAAGAATATTTCTTTTAAAAAAAATTAAGTGAATATTTATTTCTTCAACATCGATGGTTATATAAAAAAAATTATTAAAAGGGATTTACGAAGTTATAGCCTAGTAATCCTACAACATTTAGTAAGGGTGCCAAAATGTGTCATGATATGCGACACGTCAAAATGCGGGTCAATTTGAAACGTGAGATAAAACGAGTTGTACGTAGGTTTGAATAAATGACATGAATCAGTGTAGTTTCGTATTGTTTCACATATACCATTGCAAATTACAAGTCAACTTGAATACTTTATTCAAATTTTTACTTTTACTCAAATTTTAAAAAGTCAATATTTTTATTTTTAGGGCCAACTTATGCGACCCATGACCAGCTATAGTACAAGTTTCAATTTTTGACCTGCGACAAAAACATATCCTGTATGGATTAGACGGCTTGACCTCCGAGTCAGACTTCATACGATACTAATCTGATCCCAACATGTTTTGTCAATGCACGGATATTGACACGTGACACAAAATATGATACAATACGTTAATATGTTAATTTTAAAAAATAGTATATTTTGACACATTAGGACACGTTTTAATATTAAATAATATTTTTAATATATTATAATATAATTTATATTTAATAGATATTACAGTCCATGATAAGTCATATAACCAATCAAATATTCAAATTTCATAATATAAAAATAAACAAAAATAACTTTTCGTACCTTGTTAATTTTTCATGTCAAATTTTATAACAGAAAAAAATTGATTTATAAATAAATTTTTTATTTTTAGTTAATAAAATAAAATTAAAACTAAAAAAAAGAAAAAACGTGTCCGAGCATTCACTATGTGTCGAAAAAAGTTGACTGCGTGTCGAAAAAATGTGTCAGAGCGTGTCGAAGAGTGGACTACATGTCCCAAAATATTAATCGCGTATCAGACGCGTGTCGAAACGTGTCTGTGTCAGACACGTGTCTGATACGCACAATTCACAAAAAAACAACAAGTCCGTGTTTCAGAGCCTAACATTTTGCAAGGGTCACCCTAGTTGTGGGATAGTATGGTGAACTAAATTTTTTCAAAGTTAATTATTATTATTATGATTTTATTTGAGAAGGTGTTGAAAATTAATTTTTATTTAGTCAGGATTTATTCAATTGCAATAATATGTTAATCATATTACTTTTTTTTTTTGGGTGAGCTGATAATCATATTACTTTTATTTAATTTCACTAACACCAAGCATGTGAATCATTATATACAAGGTTGTTTCTATTTAATCAGTACATTACTGTGTTAAAATTTTGAACTTGATAAATATTCAAAAATAAAATTTCCTATATTAAAAAAATTAAGATTTAAATGATCTACAAGAACTGATTAATTCTTTAGTTTTTGAAGTCATATGAGTTATGATAAGTTAAAAATTTGAATTAATCTATAATTTCAAAAGGATTGCTTAAGATGCGCTAACTTGTTAATTCAACTTTTTGGTTTTGATCACCTATTAATTAAACAATCGTCCGAAGTTAATTTTCTTTAATCAAGAAAATTAGTTTAGGTATGAGAACTTATTAGTTCTGTAATATTTAATCAAATAATTTTTTCAAAATAAAAATTATGCGTTTAGAAAAAAAAAATTATATTTAAAATTACACTAAAAAATTATTTTTCAAAGATTTACGTGACTTTAAGATTATCATTATATTAAAAATATGTGATAGATAAGTTAAAAAAAAGTGGTGTACGTTCCACACCAAAAAAAAAAAAAAAAAGTGGTGTAGGTTTTGTTTTAGGAGTTAGAATAGATCGGAGGAATGTTAGTAGTATTGTGAAGTTGGCAAAGCGCACAGGTCGCTCCGCACCATCCATCCCGCGCCGTAATCAATTTCTCAAAAAATAATGAGTTTTATTTGTCTCATGTAATACGAGAAAATTTATTTTAAGTTGTAAGATAAATAAAGTGAGGCTTATCAATTTTTTTTTTAAAAAAGAAAAGAAAAAGAAATGCATGTCTTTTTATGTAAGTGTAACATGAGAGATGAATCTCATGTAATATAAGAGTATAATTTTCCAAAATAATCAACCTGTCGGAACACCAATCAAAATGTCATTGTTTACCAAATTTTTTACCTAAATGCCATGCGAACAGTATTATTTCCCAATCTGCCACTGGGGCAAGTTTGCTACCCAGTGTAACAAACTCGGTTTGCTGATGTGTCACATTTTTAGTGGATAACAACAAGTACCAAGTTAAAAAAAAAGTATGAAGTTCGCAACATTAGGTAGCGAACTTGGTTAAAACCAAGTTCGCTACCCCGTGTAGCGAACTTAGTGTACACTGAAAACATGACACGTTATTTCCAAAAAAAAAAAAAAAACGTGACACGTCAGCAAATCGAGTTCGCTACACCCGTGGCAAATTGGAAAATAACACTGTTCACGTGGCATTTAAATAAAAAACTTAGTGAAGAGTAACATTTTGATCACTATTCCCAATCTGTCCTGTTCTGTTTTTAAAATTGAATTAAAAGATTCGGCCCTCTGCTTCGCTTGGTGCGTTGGCCAGCCAGGCCTAACACATTTTACATAAAAAAAAAAAAAGCAAGTTCCTTTTTTTCCTTCACTTTTTCGGTCGCCCTTTTTTATTTTCTCTTTTTAATTTTTTTTTTCTTGTTTTATATTTCTATCTCTTTATTTCTTTAATTTTTTCTATGTATTTTTCTTTTTGTTTTCTTATTTTTTCGCTCTTATGTTATTTTCTCTCTCATATAATTTTATTTTATTTTTTTCTTGTTTTATTTTTATTTCTAGTGTTATTTATATTTTTTTTAAGGAATAAATATTTCCCATATTATAAGAGATAATTTTATTTTATTGTTTCACACATAAAAATATATGAAGCCTATGTTTTTTCTCTTTCTTCTCTTTACATGGTCTCGTATGGGCCCTATGCACTTTTATATATGTATAAAAGATAAAATTATCTTCTGCAATATGAAAAATATTAATCCCTTCATTTAATTTATATTTGTAATTTTTTTCCTCTTTTTATTAAGACTTATTTGCCCCCAACCCTAATTAATTTGAAAAAGAGGTAATATTGATGTTGATGTATGTTATTTTGCCATTTTTAAAATAAAAAATATTTTTAAGTTTGACAATAAACTCATAATCAACTTTGGCCAAAATACTTCTTATGTTTTTATCAAATTACTCTCCTCATATCACTTTTACTTTGATTTCCGCGTTATTTTTTATTTTTTTTACAAGGTGGGCCATCATCTTTCTTTCTCAACTGCAAAATTGAAGTTAAAAGGAGAGCTTGAAACCTCATTATCTTTTAGATCATCATTTTCAATCAGCGCATCGGCGATGCAATAAAATAAAATCTAAAGCATGATGTGATAGTGAAGGTTGTATAGTTCAGTGGATTTTTATCCTGGATAATAGGTGTGACAGATAAGGTTGTTAAATATATTGATTCTCAGAAATTAATTTTATCTTATATATATATATAGATATGAAATAGGATCTTTTCACACCATTGTCAAATTTAAATTTGACATCTCATCTGAGAGCATTAAATCATAGTAATTGATCTTTTTTGATCTAACAGCTTTCTGAGGTATCAACTTTCAAATTTGACACTGATGTCAAAAGATTCTGATGTCAAAAGATTATATATATATATATATATATATATATATATACACGAGACTTATATTTTTTTTCTCTTTTTTTTATATAGCTTCACATGAACTTCATGTATTTTTATTTATATATAAGAGATAAAATTATCTCTTATAATATGAGAAATATTAATCCATATAATATAAGAAAAGAAAAAATGTTGAAATACGTACGGTTGTTAAAGCCAAAGTAAAAAAATCATTAATATCCAGGAAAACAATTTAGCATGGTGGATACACTTCCGTTACTTGTATTCAAAAAAGTATTACGCAGTGACATGATTTATTGTAGGGATAACTCTAACCATGGCCCACATGCTAACTAAGCCCTTACACCATATGTGCCCCACCGTGACCACCTCCGCCAGGAGCACCACCACCGGGCGCACCACCGCCAGGAGCACCTCCGCCAGGCGCACCACCACCAGGAGCACCACCACCGGGTGCACCACCTCCAGGCATGCCCCCGCCGGGCATACCGAAACCAGGAATACCAAAACCAGGAATAAAGCAGTTGGGACCCACTCCATTCGGACAAGCGTTTTTGTTATATTTGATATCACCCACATCTGCAAACACATGAACCGTGAACAAATCAGACAATGAGTATCATCCCATTTGCCACGAAAATAGTAACGTATGATTAATGAACACAAGTCTTATCAATTCGATCAGTAATTGCATAATCAATAGGCAAAGAACCATGGCTAGATTTTCAAACAAGAACAAAATGTAAATAAGGGAGCTCCTTGTTGAGTTTATAGTTGGGGAGAATAGAAAGCAAAACAAAAATTCACACATTCTAGGGTTGGAGGAAGTCTCACCCAAGTTCCTAGCTGCCACTTCTGTGGAGATCATAGCAACAATGGCCAAGAGGCCTAGGATGCGTAGGGCTTCCTTAGAAACCATGTTTTCAGTAGTAAACTAAAACCTGAATCAAATAGATGTTTGCTAATTGCTGATGAAAGATGTGAAAAATAATGTGAAAATTGTATTCTATTTATAGGAGAGACAGACCTCAGTCGTGGAGGATAAGATCTCAAAAGTTTACATAATACTCTGCATTTCTACTGTCTAGCATTAGTTATAGCATAAAAAATTGTATGTCATAAATATATCAACTTATCAAGCACCGAAGTCAACTAGGAAAATTAAATTGCACTTTTGCTTCAAATGCTTTTCTTAAAGTTTCTTTAATTGAGTAAGAAAAAGGTTTGGAAATTGTGGTCAAATGCATTACTTGGCTAGTAAACGTCAAAACCAATAAATTAGCTCTAATATTAATTGGAATAAATAAGAGTTATGTTCTAGGAAAAATAATTTATTTATGCTAAGATATAACAAAATAAAATCATTGAACTAAATTTCTTATCTCATTTTTTTATTATTATCTTTTTTTGTCTTTTACTGTTGCATTAACATAATAAAATAAACACCCATATTAATTATACTTTTGATCTTATTAGATGACCAATTATGCAATTTTGGTCTCCAAATTAATTTTTTTTCCAACAAGTAAAACTCAGTTTTTTTTTTCACATTTAGCAATATAATAATTTTTTGAATGAATTATCAAAATATAATAGTTTAAATATCACTGAACCATGCAAGCCCCAAGTGTGGAATTAAGTCAACATGTGTCACCGAGATATCATTGGTGGGTCTCACATGGTCATACTTTGTCAAATTCAATCACTTTGATAAATTTGGTAGTGTCATATGTCACCTAAATCCGCTAGCAGATGGGGTTGGAATAATTAAACTTGGTTAAATTATGTTATTTTAGTAAATAGTTTTTAAATATATCATTTTAATAAATTTATATATTATCTTATTACATTAGTGTATGAATGTTGCAAAAAATTTCATTAATTTTTCTCCAACAAAGTTTAATTATTCTTACTCTTAAAATGTGAGGATAAACTTTGTTTAAAGTAATTTTCTTTCTTGTATTATTCGTTTTACTTGTTATAGTTGTCTTGTGCTTATTTGAATTACAAAATAGCATAATTTTTTTTTTTTGTATTGATCTACTATTAATTTAAAAATTGTCCAAAATTAATTTGCTTTAATCAAGAAAATTAGTTTAGATATGATAACTTATTAGTTCTGTAATATTTAATCAAATAAATTATTCAAAATAAAAATTATGCGTTTAGAAAAAATTTAATTTTAAAATTACGCAATTAAAAAGTTATTTTTCAAAGATTGACGTGACTTTAAGCTTATCATTATATTAAAATTACGCGATAGATAACTAAAAAAACAAAAAAATTAATGGTGTGAGATGTAAATTGGTAGATTTTGTATATTAGAAGTTAGGACAGATTGAAGGAAAGATTTTAGTATTGTGGAGAGTTTGATCCATTTCTTTTTTCTATATTCTATATGCTACATTTAGTTCTTTTCGTCTATTTTTCCTTTTATTTCTTTCTTTACCTTTCCTTTTTCCCTTTGTTTTATTCCATTTTCTCCCTTTCAGTTTTTCTTTTGTTATTAATTTATTTATTTTCTTCCTTTTTCTTTATTTTTATCTCTTTATTTTTTATTTTTTTCTATTTATTTTTATTTTTACTTTCTTATTTTTTCTCTCTCTTATATATTTTTATTTTTATTTTACTTTATTTTATTATTCTTTTTAATTGTTTATTGTAATGTTTTTATTTCTAGTGTTATTTATATTTCTTTTAAGGGATAAATGTTTGTCATGTTCTAGGAGATACTTTTATTTTATCTCTTACATATACATATATGGGGTCTACGTTAGTTCTCTTTTCTCTTCACTTGGTCTCATGCTAGCGGACCTACATATAGGTGCCATTGTCTGCAAGTGCAGACACAAAAAATTGTTTACTAACAACATTCCCATGTCTCAATATTCACATCGCACTCATCATTCGTTGCTCGTGAACAATTCCTATCTCTTAAGGCTTCTTGTATAGTCAGTGGGGGTATCTGTGGTGTTTAAGGTTGACAAGAAGGCTTTGTATCTGTCGAAAAGGCTATACGATGTTGAGTACAACTTCTTTTTCCTTTTCTCAAAGCTTTAGGTAGATCAAGGTGCGAGATTTGTGCAGTGCCATGTCGTCAGTTAGTTGGACAGGAATGTATGATCCATGCCAATGGCGGACCTACATACTATTTTTTTATATTAAATTGAAGTTTTTTTTATATTTTTTATTTTTTAATGCATTTAAACTTTCTTCAAAATAAAATTTCGGGGGAGAGGGGCTTCCCCCGAACCCTAGTCACTGTGCGGACATAAATAAAATTTTTTGGGTCTGCCACTGCGACCTCATATGGGCCCCGCACATTTTTATGTATGTATAGAAGATAAATTTATGTTCTACACCATGAGAAACTTTAACCTCTTCTTTTAATTATATTTTTAATTTTTTTTCTTAATTTTTATTTTGCACTTTTCATATGGATTTATCTGTTGCCAATCTGAATTAATTTAGGACAAAGCTAATTTGACGTTTACGTATGTTATTTTATCATTTTTAAAAGGGAAAACTTCAATTATCCTCTGTAAGTTTCCTCAAAAGCACTTACTCTCTCCCGAAATTTTTAATCATTTACATCTGTTATGGAATATTTCCATATCCTAACCACCTACCCAAGGATCCCTTAAAGGATAACTACCCAATTATCCTAACAATATAAAACAGTAAGGCTGCTAAGGATAAAGTCTTTATCCCAACAGAAAGGAAGTTAAATCCTACTACAACTGGGAGATCTACACAAGCCCAAGAGGTAACCCTTATAAATAAGAGGTTAAAGACCCCAGGTACATACTCTGAACTCATTTACTACTTCTGCCCACACTGTGCACACACCCACGTCTCGGCTATAAGCCTATTGCTTGTGCGCAGTGATGGAGATATTGGCTATAAGCCAACCAAGATATCTATCCATAGGATATCTTTGAGCGCATACCTGGTATCATTATACGGTTTAATAGAACCGAACATTGGCACCGTCTATGGAAACGTCAAATTTCGACTCCCATCCATGGTGAACACGCGCGGCATAGCACGAAGCCACAGATTAAAGGCGACCTCGCGCGCCCTGAAATTGCTTAAACCACATACATATGAGGAGACAAATCTTACCGCAAAAAAGGCTTTTGATCCTCTGAGAGACTCTAGAATGGAGCTCTAGATCCAAGTAGATGACGATTTGACAAAGATTATTGTCGTCGCAATTCTTGATGGAGCAAGTGAAGACCTGGAGGACATTAAATTATAAGGAAAAAGCTTCAACTCAGCCCAGTGAAGGGCTTCAAGTTTAAGAGCTCGGCCAAAGCCTAGAGCTCATCCCCAACGAAGGACTTTAAGTTTAAGAGCTCGACCACGGCCTTGAGCTCAGCCCAACGAAGGGCTTCAAGTTTAAGAGCTCAGCCTCAGCCTTGAGCTCCAACTCAGCCCAGTGAATGGCTTTAAGTTTAAGAGCTCGGCCACAGCCTTGAGCTCAGCCCAACGAAGGGCTTCAAGTTTAAGAGCTCAGCCATAGCCTGGAGCTCAGCCCAACGATGGGATTCAAGTTTAAGAGCTCGGCCACGGCCTTGAGCTCAGCCCAACGAAGGGCTTCAAGTCTAAGAGCTCAGCCTCAGCCTTGAGCTCCAACTCAGCCCAGTGAAGGGATTCAAGTTTAAGAGCTCGGCCAAATCCTGGAGCTCAGCCCAATGAAGGGATTTAAGTTTAAGAGCTCGGCCACGGCCTTGAGCTCAGCCCAACGAAAGGCTTCAAGTTTAAGAACTCAGCCTCAGCCTTGAGCTCCAACTCAGCCCAGTGAAGGGCTTTAAGTTTAAGAGCTCGGCCACAGCCTTGAGCTCAGCTCAACGAAGGGCTTCAAGTTTAAGAGCTCGGCCAAAGCCCGGAGCTCAGCCGAACGAAGGGCTTCAAGTTTAAGAGCTCGGCCACGGCCTTGAGCTCCGCCCAACAAAGGGCTTGAAGTTTAAGAGCTCACCCTCAGCCTTGAGCTCAGCCCAACGAAGGGCTTTAAGTTTAAGAGCTCGGCCACGGCCTTGAGCTCATCCCAACGAAGGGCTTCAAGTTTAAGAGCTCGGCCATAGCCTGGAGCTCAGCCCAACGAAGGGATTCAAGTTTAAGAGCTCAGCTTCAGCCTTGAGCTCAGCTCAACGAAGGGCTTTAAGTTTAAGAGCTCGGCCACGACCTTGAGCTCAGCCCTACGTAGGGCTTCAAGTTTAAGAGCTCAGCCTCAGCCTTGAGCTCCAACTCAGCCCAACGAAGGGCTTCAAGTTTAAGAGCTCGGCCACGGCCTTGAGCTCAGCCCAACGAAGGGCTTCAAGTTTAAGAGCTCATCCTCAGCCTTGAGCTCCAACTCAGCCCAGTGAAGGGCTTCAAGTCTAAGAGCTCAGCCAAAGCCTGGAGCTCAGCCCAACGAAGGGCTTTAAGTTTAAGAGCTCGGCCACGACCTTGAGCTCAGCCCAACGAAGGGCTTCAAGTTTAAGAGCTCAGCCTCAGCCTTGAGCTCCAACTCAGCCCAGTGAAGGGCTTTGAGTTTAAGAGCTCGGCCAAAGCCTGGAGCTCAGCCCAACGAAGGGCTTCAAGTTTAAGAGCTAAGCCACGACCTTGAGCTCAGCCCAACAAAGGGCTTCAAGTTTAAGACCTCAGCCTTGAGCTCAGCCCAACGAAGGGCTTTAAGTTTAAGAGCTCGACAACGGCCTTGAGCTCAGCCCAACGAAGGGCTTCAAGTTTAGAAGCTCGGTCATAGCCTGGAGCTCAGCCCAACGAAGGGCTTCAAGTTTAAGAGCTCGGCCACGGCCTTGAGCTTGGCCCAACAAAGGGCTTCAAGTTTAAAAGCTCAACCTCAGCCTTGAGCTCAGCCCAACGAAGGGCTTCAAGTTTAAAAGCTCGACCTCAAGCTTGAGCTTCAACTCAGCC